CCGCCAGCACCCCATCTGCTGCTGCCCTCAAGCCAACGGGACCCCCGGGTGCTGCCAAGTACTCGGGCTGGCAGCCTGCAAACCAAGCAGGTAACTTTCAGTGAGGCTTTTTCTTCTTCGCTTAAAGACCTTTGGATAGCTCAGGAAACATACTTCACCGCGGGTGTAAAAACAGCAGCCTTCAAATGGCTGTTTGTGTGTTTTGAGTACAGGCCAGTTTGTTTAGAAAAGAGGAGAAGAAAAACAGCTTTAGCAGTTTTAGTAAACCAGTAGCCCTTTGTAAGTAGCCTCACTGATGTAATTGGTTTCACAAACAAGCGAAGTCAGATGTCTCCAAGCTCTACTGAAAGCATACATACCAATGGAATATATACACATCCCTCACAATTTCAACTTGGTGCTTCCTGTGTGACTGAAAATTCAACAGAGCATATTCCATGCCATTTCAGGGGTGGGAATATGAACAGACATGTTTTCCAAGTGGTCTTTTTTGAAGTAGATGTTAATTTTTTTAAAAAAAGAAAGTTAAAATAGACTGAAACATTAGAGTGGTTATGTATTTGACATTTGTAGGTTTTATTTGAGCAGGGTGCCAGAGTATTGCATAGCTTTGTGATACGGAGATTTGTTTAAAGGTGGATTCTTGCAAGGATAATTTGAATAGCTATTACCTTTGAATGTAGTTTGGTGAGTCTTATACCCTTAAAGCAGCACCAAAGTGTCTTATGTCTTGAAATAATGCAATTTTCTTTATGGATGCTGCTATGTTATAATCATATCTGTGTTAAGAAATGCTGTATGTGTAATTGTGTAACTATATTTTCTTAATATTACAGGTAGTGATTTTTTTAATGTAACTTGTTTCTTAAATTCAGTCAGTCTTTGGTGCTGAACTAAGCTTGAGTAGTAATTTCAAAGGATCTGGTAAATCTGTATTACTAATTAAGCTTTAACTGCAGATTTTTCTTGTATGAATGAGGCGAATATCCCTGATTCTCCTTCTGACAGGATCTAAGCATCCTGCCAGATCTTTTTTTTTTTTTTCTTTAGTTCTAATGTTAAGGTTTTCCCTCTTTAAAAGTATATCCAGTCCAGAAAAGGAACTACAGAGGCCCTGGCATAAAAATAAAGACAAAACACACATAAAACACATGGTGTTGATGCTATATGTTTTATAATGGCTTTGGCACGTCTGGCTAAATTACCGTTGTGCCTGGTAACAAATATATATATTTTATTTTGGACATGCAGTTCTGCTAACAAGCCTCAAGATGGCAATACGCTATCATGGCTATACTTAACTGTCACATACTGAGCATACTCTTAAGAACAAGGTAAAGACTTATTTAAATTTAGATCAGGTTAATTCTTGCATTATTTCACTTCTTTGAGTTAGCTATCATTAGAGGAAAAAAAACCTCCAACTCTTTCAAAAGTCACATTTTTGGTATCACGTGTACTTAAGGCAAGCGTTTGTGGGAATATGATAATCCTGCATTTCTATAAGTGACTGTGCTACTTGTTCGGCATAACTCTTTTTGTGTCTCACCAAATGATAACTTTATTTCATTTGCACAGAAACCACCTGTCAACTTGGGGTTTTGGTGGTATCACACCCATTTGCCGTATGTTGGTAGGTGTTTCGTTGCCAAATCCTACTAGCGTGCTTTAGTATTAATATAAGTGTACTGTTTGAAATATGTTTCAGTTTTTGGTTTTGTTTTGTTTTTTTTTTTTTTATGATGGACAGATGAAGGAGAAAGATTTATAAGGATGAATTAAATTACACTTGATTACATACATCTCTGAAAATCTGTGCCCATAAACTGCTTAATATGAAAATCTCTTTTTTTCACATTAGAGGTACCAAATAGGTAGGTGAGGGGTAAAGCCAGCCAGAGAATTTCTGGTTGTGATGTTCCAGAATAGCTTACAAAAAACTTGGGAGATTCATACTGATAGAGAAGCTGGTGGAAGGCAATGATCGTGAGGATGTCAGCTCTGTGCTGCCTTGCTGTAGTGGCCTGGCATGTAGTGTTTAACTTCCAAAGAAGCAAAGTCATCACCTCTCTCCAGAAATAAAAACTGTAGGAGAGAGGGGCATTGAAAACTCAAAGTTTCCTAAAATGGGGAAGTGCAAAAATAAAAATATCCAAATTTTTGCCGTACCTGAGCTTACTCAGTAAGGCTGAAACCAGCAGTCTGACACGTAAAACTGTTTCAGTAGTTGAGTGTTTTGATAAAATTAGTCAGATGTTGAGGAAAAAGACTATAACCATTTCAGGGCATGTTTGGACTTCAGTAATTAATTCTGCTGTTTGTTTGCAGTCTGTGAGCATAAAGTGTTCTTTAAAGTAAAATTGCCAGAGTTTCACAGGCCAAACAAAATTTGGCTTTGTAGATCATAAGCCTGACAAAATTTTAAACAAACAAAAAAAACCCCTCCCTTTGAGCTGATTGATTTCATAGTTGAAGTCTAGCTTAGGAAATAATTAGAAGGAAGACATAATCTTATGTAAATCTGTGTACCAGTATGCTATTAATAGCAGAAACTTATTTGGAGTAGTTTTGTAGCTCTAATAGCACTCACCCTACTGATGAATATTGTGTATAACACCAAGTTGTTTCCATAGCAAAGCAGATATGTTGCAGGATTTTGTTGGTGTCTGGGGAAGCTATAATCTGCTGTTTGATGGCATGACATGAATATTACCAATGATTTTATTTATTAAGATGTCTGACTATACAGATAAGTCATTTGGTCAGACAGCATCTTGTAGTTCATTAGCTGGAATCTCCCTTTCTTGGATAGGCCACTGGAGAACACTCTTGTATTTTTTTTAATGAAAGTAGCATGATTTCTTTTTTGGATTATCATTTAGGTGTTTGGATATTTTTTTTGTTGGTGTTTTTTTGGTTTTGTTTTGAGATTGTACATTTATGCCTAAAGGTGTCAGATAGTTTTTTTTTGGAACTGAGGTATGGTCTCCGTTAATCTCTATTTCATGACCTGGCAAGAAAAAGCGGAGGAAAAAGGTGGTCTCAAATGAATGGCTGAGGCAGTGAACCTGGAGATGCTTCAGGCACTGGGTTTCTCTGTACAGAAGTCAATTGTGATCCAAATGATCTCACAGTGATAGCACCCTTCAAGCTGAACTGTCCTCATCTGCTTGTTGGAGGGCAAATGTGGGGTAACCACAAATGCTACTACACTAGTCACCCACTGTGAAGGTAACAGAGGTTTTATCCCTCTCTGGAATAAAATCCTGATACTACAGGATTCTTCAGTGGTTTGGTAGAAGAAATAAGGAATGGCTGCCTCATGCCTGCTTATAAAGCATGAGGAAGAAGCCAGATAAGCAGGATAAAAGCCTGGCTTGTCAAACAAATGAAAAAAAAAGTCTGATCTTTCAAGCATTGAGTGCACAAAGAGTTGAAAATGCAGAGCAGGTGGGGTGTGCATATAGTGCAGTGGTGGCACCTGCCTGGGCAGAGGTTTCCAAATAATGCAATTGCTATCAGCCTCTCTTGTCTGTATTATTGATTTTTTTTAATTGCTGAAATAAACCAAATTGTGGCTGTTGCTGTCTGCTAATTGTACCATCTAGAATTTATGATAGTTCTCATTTCATTTTTGTTGAGCTATGACGTTCTGTTCACCCACTAGAGGCAGAAGCTTTTTACAAGATTATGTTCAATTTCAAAAAAAATTGGCCACAACATCCTAGCTACCCTACGTTCATGTAGCGTTGCTCACTTCCAAGGAACCTCAAAGCATTTAACAGTCTCAGTACTACGTGCAAGCACACGATGCACGCACAGGAATGGCTCTCACCCACTACTGCCATGCAGCCACTTCTTGGGTGAAACGTAACAGCTGCTTGTCAGCATGCTGTAACACTCTGTGGCATCTTGAAAGGAAGTGAATAGCACCGTGGCAAATTGAAACTGCTGGGACAATTTAAGAAAGTATAATTACCCAATAAATGCAGTTACACAAACTGGCGTTGGGCCAGGAGACGAGCTGTTCTTGCGGGAAGTGTGGCAGGGTCTGCGATGGTCAGAAGCAGTCAGGACTTCCAACGTTACATTTCTCACGCAAAATCCCCTCCTCTTTCCCAGCATCTTCTAAACGCTGTTGTCGGAGGGCCAGCTGCTGGTGTGGCGGGGGGGGCCCCAGCCCGGCCAGCACCGCATCCTGCCTTCCCAAGCAGAGGCTGGGCAGGCAGCATCCTGCTTTGCTCGCGAGGGTCCGGCAGGATGGCAGGGGTCCTGTGGTGAGCTGGTATAGCTGTTGGCCCGAAAAGCTGCTTCGCTGCTTGGAGAGGAGGGCTTCATTGCAATCGATGACCTTCGTTCCTCCTGGGCTTGCCGGCTGAGTGTGTGAATAGGATGGGGAGGGTTTGCGATGGAAGTGTCCGAAGCTTGCAGTTTAAGCGACCAGTTACCTGTGTGTGCCAACTTCCTTATTCCCAGAGTCTCTCAGCCTGATACCACTGGGATGTATAATCCCCTTCCAGTAGAGCTGCTCGGGAATGTCAGCATGTTCTGCAATACCCACAACTGTCAGTTGCCTAATCCCAAGCCAGCACATGTGTTAAGCACATGCTTTCTTCAGCAGAGGGAACACACTTGGAAGCTGACTTGTAAGCATAGAAAAAGTGCTCCCTAGGCCAACTTTGTTTGAAAAATTTGGCTATTTACTTGCAGTTGTTTTCATGTGTTTGGTAGACTTGCATTTACCGTCTCTGGAGTTATCTGTAGCGTGCTGTCGTGCTGCACTTTTTTTTTTTTTCCCATATCCTATCTCCTTGATAATATTAGAACTTTAAAAGGAGAAGAAAATAAAAGCTTGCTCCGAGGTGTGATTTGACATCCTATCCTGTGTATACTGAAGTTTGGGTCTTTGCCTCCTTCCTTGCAACTTATTCTGTAGAGGTTTGCTAAGGAAAATGGGGCAAAAAATACAGACCGTATCAGACTGGAGAGTTTGGCCATAATGTCAAACAATATGAAGCTGGGGAGAGGGAGGAAGACACTGAGGCTTATTGTGCTCTCGCAAAATGCTTGTCCTGCCAGTAAGGCCTTGC